CGGGGGGGGGGGGGGAGGAAAAATTTGGTGGCGTTGCGCGTCGTGCTAGTTATTCGTCATCTTTTCCGCTTCACGTGGAGACGGAAAATTTTCAACCTGCTCCGACGTGTACGCGCGCGCGCACACACGTACACACGGCGAGACCGCGGGCGCAGTCACGTACCGCGGAAACGGGATCTCTCGGGTCTTGTTCGCCGCGTTTTCGGCTATTTTAAGGGAGACGAATCGCCGCGAGGACTAAAAGCCAATCCCGCGGCCGAAGTGTGAAGCGCGAGAGATCTCCGAGGATGATGAACATAAATTACTTTCGGAACATAAATTACTCTCGTCGCGGCGACGCGTCGTTTTTTACGCTTTCCGTAAATGTACTTAATGATTTTTCGGGATTTCGCTCGGTCGTGAGCGATTCGAGATTACGATCGTGCGAGCCCCTCGAACGTGAGCCACCTCGATCCTCTCCTTGGGACGTTCCCGCATTATGGGGGAAGGATATCGCTAGGGTGGAGAGAAAGAGCTACCGCAATGCAGGCAAGGGCGTTGTCAGGGGCGACCCTAGCCACCCTAAGGCCTCATTCGCGCCGCGAATGTGCGGCGATCCGTTTGCCGAAACAGCACCCGCGCGTCCGATCGGTCTTTCGATTTCGATTCGATATATACGCCGGCCATGCGGACGTAATTCGTTTGACCGGCCGTCGAATCGCGCTCGCCGTTCGACGACGACGCCTGTCCGCGCGTTGATACGCGCTTTCGAAAGCCGCTCTCGCCCTCTCTCGCTCGCTCTTGATTCGCATGTTTGCAGCGGAATTTCGAAACGGGACCGATGGGATTCGTCGGACTGCGATATCAATAATCGCACACAACGACACATTCTTCCCGAATCTCCGACGCGTGTAACTTCGCTCGAAAATATTCCGCACGTACGCGCTTAGTCCGCGCGTATCTTCTTGAATTCCATCGTCGCTAGTTTTTTCCTTTTCCCAGCTTTTTTTTTTTTCGCCCCCCCACGGAATCTCGCCGATATGCAGAATCTGCAATTTAAAAAATGCAGCATGTCGCCTGTAATCTGGACGGCAAGGGTGATAGGATTTACGGATAGCTAATAGGACGTGAGATGTAATCCCGTTAATTCCCCGTTATGCAAATCGGGGACACGCGATTGCGTAATTGTGTTAACCCTCGGTTGAACTGCATCTACATTTACAAGAGATACCTCGGGAGGGAAAGAGCGGTTCCTCGGATTCTAGAATTCTTCCACGTACTCCATAAGTTCCATTCGTTTTAACTGCACTCCCTGCAATTACTTTCAATCTTTTTGTTTCCCCACATCGCTCCTTAGAAGTCTCTGCGCATATCAGCCTTGTCTCGCTTTAAATGCGGAAAGCGTAGGGAGCGCGGAGCACTAAAGGCAGACGCATACCTCCGCGTTCGTCGTTTAATTTAATTAAGAGGATTAAGTTGCAGCGGAAACAAAACGGTATTAATTCAGGCATCGGCCTGGCTCGCGCACAAGCGAATTTCCGAAAACGACGGGCGCGCGCGCTCGCTCGCTCGCTCGCTCGCTCGCACGCATTAATCCCCGTATTGCCGATTAAGGATTGATGGAATCCCTGACCGATTGATTATCCTTCCGTTCGTTGCGCCTGTATCTTCGTCGCTTGCGCGAATCGACATGAAGGGCGGGACGATAGGGGGGGAGGGGGGGGGAGGGGGAAGAGTCATTAACGGGCGAGTGTAGTGTGCGGTGTCGAATTATCAAGCGCCAAATCAAGCTCCGCCGGACTCGCGGGGACTAGGTACTCTGTATTTACTCGTCCCATTAACGCCGGATTAGTGTGTGGAACGTAAACGCTCGCGTAAAATAGAGACGAGTTAATCGAATTACCATAAATCGATGGTATCCCCTTCGGTGGCGCGTGCCCGTTTACGCTCGCGGGCAACATTAACGGCAACGTGCCGATGCACAATGGTCGGTGATGTCTTGTCTGCGTCGTCCATTGTGCGCCCGACGGGCATCTTGCGCGACCAGTTAATCCGTCGCGATTTACTTCACGATCCCGGGACAGGTCGACGCTTATTACGAAGATGACGACGCGCCTTCGTTAGGGTGGCAGCCCGATTAAATGTGATTCGGATATATTACAAAATTAAGTACTGATTTATTGCTCTATTCCGGACTTTATCGCTTCGGCGCAATTATTTGCGGCAAATTAATATTGAAAACGGAGGTGTTGGCTTCACATACATATAAATATGTATATTTGTTAATAAAATTATTTAAGAGTTATTTTTTAAAATCTTCATCAATAAATTGATACATAAAGAAACAATCAAACAACATCAACAAAATGTCAATATCATGCTGCTGCTTCAAATCCAAAATGATGTGTAGAAGAAAAGTGAAGTAAACTTATTCGATAGAATGTAAAAAAAGAAATATAGTCCCAATAATTACATGTAATCCGTGAAAGCCTGTAGCCACAAAAAATCTTGATCCGTAAACAGAATCTGAGATTGTGAAAGGTGCTTCAATATATTCAATAAGTTGTAATGCTGAAAAGTAAATTCCTAATAAAATTGTTATTAAAAGTTTGATATAATTCTTTCTTTATAATTATTATTTAATATAGCATGGTGAGATCATGTGATGGTTAGCCCAGAGGAAGTAGCCCAAAGTTGGTTAAATTAACCTACTTTCAAAAGACATATTTAAAACAAGAAAATTAAAAAACAAATATTCCAGAATTTTTAACTATTTTTTAATCTTAATTTCTTGCAAAAAGATAGCGAAAAACTTAATGGTTTTAGCGCCGGCATATTGTAACCGCACGAGTAGAATAAGCACAAGTAGGCGATAAAAAAAGAAAATTAACACAACTATCTCGGTACCGCAGTGTTTTTACAACTAACATCCGTAAAATATTCTATATATATAATGTCAATTCTATTGCACGCAAAATAAACAAGTTTAGAAAATAATGAAAAAATGTTATCAAGTGTATCGGGTATACAAAAAATCTATATCAAATTTATTAGTTGCTTTTGCCGATATTGAAATTTTTCCTGATATAATTGTTCTTGATATATTGGAACTTTTTGCTCAGCATTGAAGTTTAAAAAAAAATGCAGATGACAAAAGTGACGGTGCATACGAGAGTGCGCTAAATCAATTAATTGCCCCGATAATTTTTGTATCGAAATGTTTCTCATATTCATTACTTTCAAGATGTTCTAATTTTGAATTTGTCGTTTAATATTTAAATTGAAAACATCGGTCGAAGGTGCGCAATGGTGCTAACTTTGATAAATTAATTACCATCACGTCAACACGTTATTTCGGTCGTTCAATATAAGCGAAGAGGTGGAATAATAATGAGAAATATTTATTTTCGTTTCAGGTCGATTTGAAGCCGCTGCGAGAGGCAACTGTCGCCGTTCCTGTGCCGAAAATCAGCGAGAAACGGAAAACCGAGGATCCCGACGCCAACAAGGATCTCAAGAAGGTAAGCTAACTTTGTTTGCATCGGCTGCTTGAGGAGCCATTTAATAGATTAAAGCGCAACGCTAAGATATTAAAGGGGGTTGCGTTCAAATTAGGGACGGAACGCTCGCGCGCTTTGAACAGCGTCGTCCTATCGAGTTACAAGTTACTCCGGTATTCAGTACCTTTGGAACTTTGGACCTCTTCGCGGGAACTTGAATTAGTTGGGGAAGGTTGATCTTTGTCTCGCGCGCCAACTTTCGCGAAATCGGAATTTCTCGAGCTCTCGATCGAGAACGGTATATAACGCACCGGGCGCACTCGTGTCGCCTCCCGTGTGTCACTAAATCACCGCGCATATTCCGTGCTATCGTGGATCACCGAGTGATCCTCACGGCAGTTAACGCGTTATGCGACTACGCCGTTAACCCGGGTGTTGCGGCTCGATGTCCATTTTCGAGCCCTCGTAACTCACAGTGCCGGTTGACGTCACGGGCGAGTTTCGGAACAGATCGTCTGTACCGTCCGTTTGTCTGTCGCGCCCTCGCGTATTTCCGTCGTTTCCGTCGATATTCGATACGTCGTGGCATCAGCCGCGAGGCACGAGCCTCATTAATCCGCCCGATGCGCTCGCTCGCTCATTAACGAAATAAACGTAGCCGTGGATGGAGAGATAGCGAGAAGCGGCATGTGCTTTGAGAAAGCCGAGTTATAGAGTTACAACAAGCGCTGCTGCTACAACGAGCACCTTTGACGACCGTTGACATTTAGCTTTGCGCGGATTACAACTTTGCCTTTTGACACGGCGGGAGTTAACGACGTCGTGTAAGACGCGACGGGATGAAAAAGATTGTTTGCGTCTCACTTGTCGTCATCTGCGCGGAGGCTCGCCGAGCGACCTGCAGATTTTTCTTTTTAGAAAAATCAATGTGCAGTGGTGATCGCTTCGTCGTATCTACGCGTTAATGCGCGTTCGTCCGAGCGATCGAGCGTGAAGGTGTTCAATCGAGCGGCCGTGAACGGCCAGAAGCATCGCCGATGAACAATATCAAATTTATTCCTACAGTTAATTTATTCGACACGTCTCGCGAGAAGAAGCGCGATAAGCGTCTCCCAGCGATTTCCTCGCGATTAATTCGCGATTATTCGGTCGGTTGTTTATTTCTGTCCCCCCCCCCCTCCCCCGTTTCCTCTCGCACGACCAGCAGCAGTAGTCTGCAGTTTGCTCCGAGTTTCAGCTAAGATAGCCATGAAATTAATTGCCCAAGGCAGCGCTTAGGAGTCTCGGGCGGCTACTTCGACCGGGCAATAGCTCGTTAATCCACCATTGATCTAAGTAAACCCGCCGCGAAGTTCCGAGAAACTGGGCGCGCGCACGCATTTAAATTCGCATTCGCCAAAGTCCTCAGCTTTTTGCCGCATTTTAAGACGCGCTTCGAAATACATTTCTCTCTCTCTCTCTCTCTCGGCTATCGGAAGAACTTCTCACCGCGGAGCGGAGCGAAATCGAGCGAGAAACGCATCGCGCGAATCGCTTCGTGAATGCACAACGAGGGTGAAGAAAAGAGAAGGAGTTATGAAGGATGCGTTTCCTTTCCTGTCAAACTCGACAACCCGACTCGATTCCAACGCGACGGTTGAAACAACTACCGCCTCACCGGAAACGGGAAGCATCCGTGCACAGCAACAGGCGGCGACGAATCGTGCCAGAGATTCGGTGCGATGTGCGTCTGTGTGCGCGCGCGGGCGGTCGTTTCGTTGCTCTTTTTGCGCGGCACCGGCGTGACCCGGCGCGACATCATGAAGTACATTACGCTCGATGTCGTCGTATCCTACTATCCGGTGTCGTGTTGCGCGCGCGCGCGAGAATTCACTTCCCTCGGTGCTCCATCTTGAGCCGACGTGCGAAAATTCTTCGCGCGTCGCGGCGAAAGAAACATTTCCCGTTTTCGGGACGAGACGGGCGATACGTTACAGCGGGACGCGCAAAGCAGTAATTTATCTTGCCTGGGTCTGCGTTGCTTCCGTGCGTCGTAAATTAAGCCGATGATACACGCGTGCAGTGGCAGAGCTGCGCGCGAGTCGTCGCGTTCGATGACAAAATATACGCGTGCGACTTAATAACGAATGATGAAGTCGCTCGTTACTTCAAACATTGATTGTCGCCGGGTGGATTATCGTGCCGTTCCATTAGTCCTGTGCAAGGGGCCGCGCTGTCGTCCGCGGCGTACGCCACGCCGCGTACCGATGCATGCGTATGAAAGCAGATGTGCGCATTCAATGCGATGGAATTCGTCGCGTCCCGAAATCGGAATGCACACGCACGCGAACGCCGGCATGTCCTCTTTGTCCGCCTCCGCCGCGCATTCCGCACACGCGTTTACGCATTCCATATTACAACGCACGTTCTCCCTTTAAAAGACTCGAATTCAAACCCCACGATATAAATATCACGGCTGGCGCTTCGCAACCAAAGAGGATCCCACGTTCATTTGAAGACCACGATGTCTCGAGCCGGGAGAAGCGGTGAAGGGCGAATCTAAACGGCACGTCGCGGGGGAAAACGAGAGCAGGAAATAAGGGAAGCTTCACAGGACTTGGAGGAAACTCAGACGGTGAAAGCAAACGCGGTCGATCGGCCAACGGAAGAGCGAGAGAGAGAGCGAGAGAGAGAGGGAGAGATGGTTCGCGGAGACGAGGATGGAATCAGACCCGGCGGCAGTCGGAGGACGCGGTAGGGTCGTTCGAGGCCGGAGAGTGAAAGGGAGGGATGTTTTAGGGCCGGTCGATACAGCCGAAAGTCCAGAGAGAGAGCGGGCCGAGTGGCGCGAAAATTCGTGCGGATGAGAGTATATCGTCGCGCGGCGGGTCTAAGCGGAGAGAAACTGAGAGAGGCTCGATCGAGAGGGTGGTTTTCACCACCTTCTGTCTCGACTTCCCTCTTGCCCGCCGTTTACTCTCTCTCGTGCGCCGCGCCTCGTAACTCCATGCTCTTTGTGGATCTAGAGAGTCTCGTGTTTCGTTGTTCTCGTCCTCGTCGTCCCGGTCCGCCTCGCTCGCTCCCGCGATTGCAGCAGTGACTAACGTGTTCACCCGAGATCCGCAAACAATACGTAATGGGAGCGTTAATTATTTGAGCAAAAATTTCGACCGTAGCCTCGTTAACGAGGCACTCGGCCGAGCTGAAAGCGGATTTTGTTTTATTTCTCGACCGCCGGCAAATTATTTCGTTTCCTCAAGGCAAACCAAACGGACGCGAGCACGCGATTGTCATTGAACAAAGAACCGCCGACCGACCGACCGACTGACTGACTGACTGACTGACTGACAAAATAGTCTGTCCGTCGAAATAATGAATCGCCGTACCATGCTGGAATTTATTACGCCTGTTGTTGTCGCGATGGAAATTTATTCGCGTTATAACGCGATATAACGTGTAACGCGATGTATGATTCCGATCCTCAATTTCTTCCTAAAATTTTTATCGTTTCGTGCGGATGATCGATCGTTTCATTGGACAACCGAGGAATGTTTTTCTCCGTAAAAAAATTGTGCTACTTTTCTTGTGCACTTTTTTTACTACGATTCGATTTTCACCGCGTTGCCTATGCGTTTTGTTACATGGCTTGTTTGCGAATATATTCATTCGCATTACCAATATTCGTCTAATCAATTTTTATGTAATTGATGATTTTGATTTATTGTAAAATCAACTACGAAATATGTTTTCAACGAAGTATTGCAATTAGTGCGATGCTTTTCACAAGCAGGCTGTTCGTCTATCTTTATGTTTCAACGCATAAAAGATGTATATTAATTGTTACAGATATTTTTATGTGATATTTGTGCATTCGTTCTCTCGTGAAAGGGAGCGAGTTAAAATAGCCCAGTCATTATTGCAACTCATAATTAGCTCTAATGCGATGGTAATTGATGACCAGCTATTTTAACCCGCTCGTTTTCACGAGAACGAGTTAACAAACATTAAATGGAAACATTTAATATTTGTGTGAAAATTTGATTCAACATCTGTGAAATTAATATGCATATTTATGCGTAGGAATATATACATTAAAGATAGGCGAACAATCAGCTTGAAGAGCATCACTAATTGCAACGCTTCATTGAAAACGCATTTTACAATTACATTAACGATAAAAAGGCGATTTATGCATTATTCAATGTAATGATTACACCAGATCGAATAACACAACATTGCTGCAAATAAAGCGATATCTTACTTTATTCTATGAATGAAATGCGAGAGTTTAAGGAATTTTTTTATAATATGTAGCGCACACAATACATTAATCGATATCGATGCTTCGTACGATATAATTTTATGTCACGACTTGCGAGGAATTTCGCGTCGCCCGAGGCTCTGTGGCAGATTGATTATATTTCAGAATCCGCGTCGGCTAATAATGTAAACGTAAGCCTACAGAGAAGTCTTTTCCATTTATAGCGATCTCTTTCTCTATCGACCGTATTATGTGCACCGCGACTGTCGGCCATCGAAAATTCGCGCAACGCGCCGTGATAATCCGATTTCGTGCGGACCGATGCTCGCGCGATTTCGACTAATTATTGTCTGCGTTAATTAAAACGTGTCGCGTACACGAATATTAGGATCCATTAATGTAATGCGCCGCGTGTTTCGAACGAGCGAGAAGCGGCGCGCCGGATGTCGTTATTAATTTTAATTAACGATCTAATTAAAATGATTCCTCCGTGAGAGAGCAACCTCTTCGAAACGAAACACCATCGTTCTTTCAAACTTCCGCTATTTTGCTTTTATCAGGATATCTTAGGATCGCACGGAATAGAAAATTACTCGCGAACATATAAGCGCATTTGCGAATTTATTCCTGTTTTATGAAATACGAAATATATATATTTTAGTATTTTTAGATTATTATTCAGTGTATTATGCATATGGGTCGTGCGAATAAAACATGAACCGCGCGAGCGCCATTGATATTAAAATAACACGGCAAAAGAATGTTGGTGCGCGTTTTATTTCGACGACCCACATATTTTGTAACAATTGTCGCGCAGAAATAGTGAAATTTACAAGCAGAACGTTATCCATGCGAGGGAATTGCCGCGTGTCTTGGTGATTTACACCCGTTTCGCTAATCGCGCGTCCTCTATCGCGAAACATCACGGTCCGCCGAGTTTCAAACTAAAGCGAGAAATACGCGCGCGTCGGTTAGCCAGCGGATGCGAAACGGGAGAAAATGCGGTGCGCATTATGCGCGTGCACGTAGCGAGCATTCTGCGCGAGCTATAGCGTTTTACTTTTTAATTAGGCGCGCGCGCGGCGCAATTCCAGCCATTTCCCCGCTTCGCTCCCGATCGTGCCGCGTTATGCAAAATTCTGTTTATCTCGTTATATCGCGCTTGGCAGTCGCGCGACAACGAATCGCGCCGACGGCGACGTGGAGAGTCGTTGTCGCGTAATTCCGGCCACTTAGTCTTACGGCGCTTTTCGCCCCGTCACGCGTAACAATTAACGCCCATGCTCTCCGCTACTCTATTGCTTTCGCGACCGCGAAGCTCGTAAATTTTCGCGAGCGCGTGTGGCGCGTCGTTAAGAAAATTTTGCAGGAAACTTTCGGCAATTTCGTAAATTTATCGCCGGTATCGGGATTTGTAATTGTTGCACCGGTATTTTCTTCTAATGCGGAATCTTAAATCGCATTACATTTCGGGGATGCGCTTTTAGCGCCTTGCCTTTGATTAATTTGTTTCGATGGACAATTGTCGTGCAATTTTTCCTCAGTCATAAATAAAACGTCCGCGCGAGTGATAATTCAATAAGCGGGTGCCGCTCGCTCGGATCCACCGACAATGCAACGCGAAACTTGCACCGCGTGAGTTTCCATTTTCAGCGTCCCGCGCTGTTGTCGCGATTCCGCGGCCCCTTATTGTCCGGGAATGCCGCGTTTTTTTTGTATGATAAATTTATCGTCGCCATACGTCAGCTCTCGCGAGCGCCGGACTTGCGGGCGGGCGTATGGAGCCGCGGGTAGCCGCCGCCTGACTAGCTCGTCCACTTATCTACTGTGCCCTTTATTTCAGCCGCAAGTGACAAATAACGTCGGCGTGTATATCTCCGTTTTTAATCGGGTCCGCCATAAATCCGGCATAACCGCGATTTTTGCCACGAATATTACCCGGCGGTGAGCAAAAACTGGAGCAGTCGCTCTCTGGCAGGCTACAAATTTGCGAATTATTCGAAATATTCGATAGCGCGGGACAGGCAGGTGTGCGCGTATTATTAGCGCCGCGCACCGATCGCGTATAATTCGCGAAATGATATTTGCCCGTTGTCGCGACCTTTGATCTTTTTCAGCGTCAAAACCACCCTATTGTTTCGCACGATTCTATTGTTTTTCTGCTGTTTTTTTTTTTTTTTCCTCTTTTGTCGTGTACAGAGCGCGCAGTTATTCCGCGCACACCGCGAAGTTCGCGTGTAGCTCGCGGCTGACCAGGCCGGTCACTTATCTACTGCGTTCTTTTGTTCCAGGCGAAATTGGAAACGAAAGCACTGAAAGCGAAGAGACCGGGATTCACGGACGAGCGGTACAACGAGACCAGTTATTACGTGGAGCACGGTTAGTATCTATATTAGACGTTTCAAATTTAAGCCGGTCGCGGCTCCAAGGCCGCCGGTTGCGCTTAATGCGACGGATTAACGCCGTCGCTCGCCGCGATCGCCGCTTTCAACTACGGCTTGAGAGATTGCGAGAAGTTATTCGCGCGGTATTTGTCTGCCGCTTTAGAAATATTGAGCGAGCGATAGCTGTCGAGGGAGTAAATAGCCACGAATAACATTTTTCCGACGCCACACGAGGGAGAAAATTGCGCAAAAATGCGCGCGCCGCGGTGGTGTTGTAAGCCGGCCTTAAACGGGATCAGTTAATTTTCAACAGTGTTAGACTTACACTCGTGCGCGCGAGTACACCAGCCACGAGTCAAGTAATCATGGATAATCCGCTGGATAAATACAACCGGCGCAATAATCCGCCGACCTTCCTCGCTCTCTCGTCTTCTCTCTTGCCGACAGCACGAAGCCGCTTCTCGCGTGCACGAAGTGGAGGATGAGATAGATTGAAAACTATGGCGCAACAGATTTTACGAGGCACCGGCCGTATTTCCCTGATCATTGATTTCCAATTTCTCCATTATTTTCGAATTTCGGCGCAATTGAAATAAGCGCAATTCCGACTAGAATTTACGTCCGGCCAGCCTGTTATCGCATAAGTATAGTCCTAATCAGGTGTTCCGAAGTAACGTATATCTGATAAGGTCTTAATGAGGATTGAATAAGAAAAACCTTGATGCGGTTAAATTTTCCGATACAAAATTGCGCTAGTGGCGTTTACAAGCTACGTTTACTGTTATGATGGTCGCGGTTGCAGTGATATGTAATATTGTGTGCATTTTCTGATATATCATATTACAGCTGACATGTTGGCTGCGTATTTGACAGTACATAAATCACCAAACAAGAGCCTCTGTTTATTATATTAGAAATAATGTATCGATTTTAAATATTCTTTTTTTATAATAACAGCATTCTTTATATAGTTTAATAAACTATCGATATACTATTTGCTTTTTGTAAATCTAGGACTTTTTTTCAATGTTCTGCGTAATCCTGAGCCAGAACTTGATAAAGATTTAGTGACACATACATATTCTGATAAGAACCTAATGAGGAATGTTTAGTAAGGACCTAACGAGAAATGACCAGTAGGATCCTGCGAGGAGCGCTCAGCGAAGTTGCGAAGAAGGACCTAGTAAGGACCTGATAAGAAACGTCTAGTAAGGTCTCGATTATTGTACCGCGTCACATGATTTATTAGGATCTGATAAGTAATCTGATTAGGACGCGATCAGATACCTTGTCGGAATTGTGGTCAATCTGATCAGGACCTTATCAAAACCGAGGGTAAATTTGTAGTCGGGATGCCGATCAACAAGCAGTTGATAACGCTGATATTGCCGATTTCCACCGCAGCGACGTGCAACCTTAAAATAATATTTCTAAAATAATATCTTACGCTTCTGCGACCTTTAGCCTCGCGAATTATGCACTGTACAATAATGTAGCAGGTCCTGACATCTCCTTGTCGTATCTAAAGTTCAAATCGAATGACAGAAAGAGACGCTTATCTTAATCTTTCCGGCCGTGCAAAGCTGTCCCGTCATTGAGAGGGAGATCTTCAAAAAGACCGCGGGCGGCGATAGCGTATTATATATATTCGCTGCGTGCGCTGTTACGATACCCTTTGTACGAGCGGTTGTATATTTCTTTGTGGGAATAAAACTGTCGTGTCACGTATAAACTCGCGCGGAACTCCAGCGCGTGGGACGTATTACTCGCGTGGCAGTTAAGTCAATATATTTCGACGTTGAACTCCGGCCGGTTTATCGTGTGCCAATATACACGTCCTGCAATCCGGAGTATCCGGAGTATCGGGAGACGCAGCCTCTCCATATTCTCGCTTCGCATCGCCGGCATTGATGCGAATCGTGTGACGGGCGGGCCGGCAGACGCCGGAGCGCATTATCACCCGGCGGGCGTAGTCGCGTCCGCGATAGCGCGGACGGTGCGTCGCGAATGCGAGGAGAGGAAGACGGGAATGCGAAAGCGTGCGTTGTGGAAATGGAAAAGCGGCTGGAGGAATAATTAAATTATCCCGTTTCGACGGGGACGGACTTATATCGGTTCATCGTGTGCCAACACGCACGATCCGATAATCGATTGCGAATACGCCGTAGACGTCGCCATTTGCACTATCGCGACGGCGCTTTTTTTTTTCAGCTCGCTTTTGTTTCAAGGCCCGTCGTTTTAGAGAAGAATTTAACGATCTCGCGTTCGTGGCCGATCGAATATGTGTTCGTCGTCGCAGTGACGTCAACGTCAACGTCATCGAGAAATTCTTACGATACGGACAGTTTTTTTTTTTTTGTAAAAAATCATTACATTTTATCGTTCAATTATCTTTTTACCGCGCCGGGATAATTATTAGACCGAAAGACGGTACGGTGTAATTTTAGCACTTCTATCTTAGGGAGTCCCCTGTGCGTCGTGCAGACCGCGATACGGCATACGATTAACTTTTCAGCGGTTCGAGCGTGTCTTTTTCGTCGGGCCGTTGGTGCGATTAAAATGCGTTTTTCAGCGCGAGAAGAAAAGCCGGCGTTCCGCTCGCGCGGGAACGATCGGCGGTGGGGCTCGGCATTGTTGGATCGAGCGATACGAGCGAGGTGCGCGCCGACGTGGGCTCATTATCGCGAGTTACGGTTGCCGTTCGCGATAAGCGCCGTTCGCGCGCACGGTGTGCACGGCTAACAGAGAGAACGGAGACGAGGAGGAAGCCGCGGCGGGAATACGGAATTGCCGCCGTCGGCGGAAGACGCGCGAAGAAAGGCCTGACGGGAGAGCGAGGGTGGAGGGGAGGGGGGCGAGAGGAGGGGCCGATATGGGTGCCCGGGGGATGGTTACAGAGACGCGAGAAAGGGATCGATCGATCGGATATTTAGACGGGCGAATAGCAATATATCGACAACCGATATCTGCTCCACATTCGAATAATAGAGCCGCGCGGGCGACGCGCGCCGGGCATCTCTCGCTCTCACGGCGAAACAAAGACCTATTAATGCCACTCAGAAGACAGACAGCTGCACGTACGTTCTCCGAGTTACGCCTCCGCCCCCCCTCCCCCCTCCTGTCTCCTCGTGCATCTTGCGGCCCTTAAATGCACTGCGCTTGATCGAACCCGAAGACATCGTGGGACGCTTTAGGTAGTATATTCGCGGAGCGCAAACTCGTTGCGAGAATTAAGGACGGCGCATTGTCCGGACTAGGTCAAAAGGATTGCTCCTCCGAATTGAGCAATCATTTTTCGCTTCTCCTTCTGTTTTTAAAAGAAAAAAAAAGAAAAAAAAGAAAAAAAAACGCCAGCGGCGTTTATTCCTAAAAAAATATCTGGCGTGACAAAAAGTTTGTGAAACAGCCTAGTGATGTTATTTGAAGATCGAAACCACGGGTGTCCGTAACACAATTCCGTAATCGTTTTCGAGGGTCTCATTCGGCGAAATGACGGCCTAAACCGTTCCGACGGCGATGGAACACGCGTCGTAACGCCGCGAATGTCGGATTTGCGAGCGCTGAAATCCGAAACGTCGGCTTAACGTCGCGCGCGCCGTAGACGGTGGGACCTCCGCCATCTGCGATCAGCTACTCCGGATCGGTGCACGCGCGCGCGCGCGCGCGCGCACACACACACACATGAGCACACACGACCATACGAAGGACGAAGACCCGTTTCTACGTGATTCAAATCTAAAAACGACCGGAGTCGAGAAACCCCGGTGTACGTTATCAAGCCGAGAGATCCTGGGTCTTTCGGTAATTCGACTGCGGCTAACCAGCCCTCCTTCTCACCCCTCGTCCACATCACTTTTTTTCCCATGAAGTTTTAAAATTACATTTATTCACGACGAATATCTGGAGCGACCTAAAAGAACGATTTGGATGGTTGAATATTTAATGATGCGAAAGATATCGTCCGTGTTTTTTTTTTTTTAAATTATTTTTATCTTTTAAATAAATTTATAAACGGCCGTGGATTCGAAACTTTCGACAAAGGAGCGATCATTATTTCTCATACGACGGGAAGTACTCGCGAGATATCGAGCGTCCTCTTCGCGTCGCGATCTGCCAGCGATGCACCGCTCTAATTGGCCGCGAGAACACTCCTCGCGGCTTTCATCCCGCCCCGAAGACAAGTCTTGGCACTCGACGGCGTTCTTCACGAAGGCAGAAGAATATGTTGGCAACCCACCGCAAGTGCGGAAACACGAGCTCTTTCGACGCCCATCTGCCGGAAGTTCTCGTGCGATTTTCTGGGCGTTCTGTCTGGCAGAGGATGGCTCTGGAGACTCACGGGTTAGAATATGGCCAATGCGTGACACGTGACGTGTCTTGTGGCTAGAGTTGACTTGGCTACATTCGAGATACTAACGACAGCGGATCGCGAGCCTTTTATTTGGAATTCAATTTCCTTCAATCAAAATTTTATTTCGCTATTAAGTTGTCACAATTAAATATTTTAAATATATTGCGTTACTCTCTAAGGACGTCCTCTGTTATACATTTATTCGTTGATCGTACGGCGAAAAAAGTGAGATATTTATCCGCTCGTCTCTTCAATTTACTTTCGCAATATTGGATTTCGATGTCGCATCGCACGATATGAGAGAATTCGATGTCGGATATCGGAAATTAACACGAGCGAAGCTCGACTGAATCGCTTAATTGGTTAATTAACGAGGTAGCAGAAGTGGAATCGCAAAGTGTAGCCGAGAGGACGCATGTCGTCGTGGCGCAACGAAGCGGCACGAGGGACATCAACGGCGCGCGACGCGAATGCCACATCTCGAGATTCCGTAGCTCGCGATGCTGTAATATACTCGGGTGAAGATAGTGACTGTAATAGAAGTCACGCCACAAGCCACCGCCGTCGATACGCGAGATATAGGACTATAAGTTCGCCCGGTGTTTTACGAGCCTGTCAACTTTGATGCCAGCAAACTTCCCCGA